TCCCTCCCCAGGTCATGGCAGTCACCTACACAGGCCTTGTCAGGCTTTCATTCTTCCCACTTCACCAACCATGTTCTAGCAGCTCCAACTGGAATTTTTTTATAGTGAAATGGCCTGCATGGTTTCCAGGTAGCACTGGAGAAAGAAGTTAACAGCCACACACTGGTAGGCAGAATAAATATATCTATCAACCCAGTGCCATTGAGGAGTGAATGGGTGAAGCAAGTAAGCCTCAGAGGCCATGAAGACATCTCCACTCCCTTTGTGTGGAGGTGGGAGTGGGGACAGACATCCATTTTTCTGGAATCTTCCCATTACATTTGAAACACTGCAGAAGACATTTGGTGTTAATCAAATTTTCCTTGTCTTACTACAGTCACTCCTGGTTGGTTTTCCCTTCATCTGGGAAGGTACAGCAGCCTGGAAACAAGCACCATTCTTGATGCTCTGAGAAGATTCAAAGAGAACAAAGGGACATTCTTATGGTGTTGAAGAAACTGGTCTTTGCTATTTCAGTCTGTTAAAAAGTTAACTTAACTATGTCCTCACAGGGGCTATGCCGAACACAGCCCAGACCTATAGTTTGGAAAACATTGGAAATGTTTGTGTCCAGTCTGTTATGCAGCCTGCTATCTTGCAGCCAGATGGCAAAAGCCATAGTGTCCTTTCATACAGGATGTGACAGTGTTACAGTTAACTGGGTACTTGCTCCATTTCTGGATAGGTATCATCTCGTGACCTGGTGATGCAGAGGGTGCGTAGTACTTCCCAAGAGGCAGGCACTATCCAGATGATGTTAACACTATTGCTGCCCATAGAGAAGATGCTAGTGTTCCCTCTGAATCCAGCACTGGAATTATGGACCACATGGGTATTGGAAGTACTTTTGATGACCTGAAACTCTGTTCATAAATATGCCTCAACGAGTAAAGGTGTGGGACAACTGAGTGGTAGTCTTTGTGGTTTATAGCTGCCTGCAGACAGGTTGCAGATGGGAACGTGGATCCCATAAGTGGTCCTTATGGAGCTCATGAACAAATTAACGGTGAAGGCTGGGGCAGAACAGCCACACCAGCAAATACTCCCAGAAAGCAATTGTCCATGTCTTCTTTCTCAGACAAAAGGATGTGAACAAAGTCTAAGTCAGCTCATTCAGGTTGTCACCCTAGTCTAGTTGCCACAGAAAGAGAATAGGATTTCCTTATATCCTACTTCTTGTCTGGTTCTGCAAAGCACCCAGGAAAGAGTCTGGCTGCCTGCACACCACTGCTACAGATTCCCAAACTTGCTTTGTGATAAGACCTCTCCATGCAGGAAGGAACAAGCTGCACACTTTAAGAATAGCTCTGAAGCCAGGAGAAAGCTGCTTTCAGCTAACAACTTTCTTCCATCTGTCAAATGAGAGAATATGTTCCCATTATGCGCTGGGAGAAGAAGCCCAGCTCAGAACACTGAGCATCCCACACAAACCCAATCCTTTTTCTTATCTAAATTCTCAGATAAAATAGGATAATTCCTATTTTCAAAAACATTTTAGCTTTTGAGGAACTCATTGAGAATTCACTTGCACATAGGTTATGGATGTTGAAATAACTTGGCAATGCTCCTTAGGTTTCCTATGTCACTTAAATGTGGCTAAAATGTTAAGTTATGGCTGCTATTATTTTCTTACTTAATTGAGCATATCCTGCACGCAATTCTTTTCTCAGTATTATTTTTTTTTCTCAAGTCCTTGTACTTGCAACTTCAGTATCTTTTTAGACGTTGTCTCTACCTCTCGACTTCCTTTAATAAAACATATAAAATCCTTCTCCAAACATTTATTGATTTCATTCTTTTCAGACAAAAAAATCTTAAATGCAATATCAAACTCTGCTAGGAAATGTGCTTAAAGACTGATGGCATGTATAAAATATTGCCATTTCAAGAATTAACTTTACAAATTGTATTTCTACTGGAGTGTCTTACCCTTATCTAATAATAATAAGCCATAAAGTGCTCTAGTTAATATTAATGTGAAACTTGAATAACTTAAATTACATTAGTGCAAAATGAGAATTTGGGCTACTAGCTCCAATCCGACAAAAAATAAAGGGTATTTCAAAAAGCAGAAATCTAACTGAAAGATTTCAACTCTGCCTATCTCTTACAAGCATACCAGTTTACCCTCTTACAAAATGTTGTCCTCAAAAACAGACTCATCAGGGAAAAATATTTTGAGAAATCTTGGTAAACATACCTTTTTATACTGGTTAAACACTGCATAAGAAACTACAATGATTAATTCATCTATATTTGGACAGATATGTTGGGGTTTTTTCCTATTTAGAACTACTTCAAGCTAGAAAGTGGTTCCTAAACAGGCCTCTGATGTTTGAAATACAGAAATTCATCACTCATCAAGAAGCCAGCAATTATGAGTAAAAAAAGACAGTCTTTCTTTTCAGTCATTGAATGCCTGTTGTATTTTCAGGCTGCAGAGATTAATATTGATGAGAATAAAAAAAAAAAAAAAGACATTTAAAAAGAGTATTTTAAAACCTTGATTTTTTGCTTCATTTTTACCCTCTAAACTTACTCAATACTATCTGAGTATATGGCTCTAAGGAATTGTTTTTCCATAGATTTTTTAAAGCACTGAACTTCCACCTCAAAATCTGAGTTAAAAAGTATCACAAGACAGGAAACATGAATTGTAAAACTAAAAATAACATCATCAGCAATGTTATTAAGTACTAAAACACAAGGAGTCATCAAGTTTTAAATTAAATGAGGAACAGAAAAGAGGTACATGTTCAAAACAAACAAATGAAAAGAATATTTATCTAATGAGATTGAAATTAGTGAGACTCCAATTATGGTTTGAGATCTTAAAATATTTAGACGGTATGCACTATTTTGAATGCATGATGACAGAGCTGAACTTATCAACAAACAAATAGCTGTATGGAAATGTTTCACGGTTCCTTGCAGGTTGGGAAAGTTTTTTAGTTCTTCATCAAACTACTGGGAATACAACAAGGGTGGGTGACATTAGACAAAACTTACCATGATCCCAATTTTTGGGCCCCATAACTATTCCAACAGCTGTGCCTTTCAGAGAACTCAGTTTTGAATAGGAAACTATGTATTTTTACTATGTGAGCTCTCTTGCGTTGCTGAGTCATTTAAGTGAAGAAATGTGATGCACAGCTTCAGCTTTCGACTGCCTTTGTTTTGGTGTAACATCCCTGCATCAAAGACACATTAAAAACATGGTCCTTAAGTGCTGTTTTATCTAGCTGAACAGGGAAGCTGCTAAAGACTACCTCACCATTATTCAGCCCATGCTTCAAGCCATTCTGTGTTGCTTAATTATTGTTGGTTCAGAAGATGTTGATTCTTCCAAGTAACCACATAACCATCTTGTCCTCAATCAGTTTCAAGAGTATCTCTAGATCTTGAGTCTGTCCTCCTTTCTCACATGAAGCACATTTTTAAAAAGACCTTGGTTGGAGTTTTATGACAGAATCTGGTCTCAGCACTAGTATGCTCTTCAAAAGCAGACATTATTAACAATGTTTTCATAAACACCAGTTACTGAGTGCAGTTAGCACTCAAATCATGATATATTAACAATCAATCCATTCATTCATTTTGAAAAATTTAAACAAGAATACAAGAGAGATGATCTCCCTAAGAAGTATGAAAAATAGAAAAAATACATCAGTGGCTAAGAGCAGGGATTAAGATTACAAAACTTTGGTTGAATGATAGCATTGCTAAAAAATTCATAAATTCAGAGTTAAACCTTGAATACCTATTGCAATTCATTAAATGCTATTTTTATATACCCTACTACTTGTACCCTTTATTTCACTTGTCTAATATGGTATGTGGAATATTATTGTCTTTAATAATCTTTGGTGTTTCAGTGCACAGACTCATATTGTACTCTATATGGATTGACTAACACATCCAGATGCAGAAATTGTTCACAACTTCTAATTTTTACCATTTGAAAGAAACCCTTGTTCTCTTTTACAAGTGATCCATCCAAGTAAGCCGTGATGCATCAAAAAGCCTCTTCCAGCAATGTCAGCCTCATGCTCTAGACTGAAAAGTGCTTTAATCACTCTTCCCATTCTCCAGTATTATCAAACTGCAAGCAGACTAATCTCTATTTACCTCAATTATTCTATACATGCTGCCCCCAGAACACTCTGTGCACTTTATACTAGGTTTTATTCCTGCCCTAGTATCTTGCATTAAGTATCTGCATCACACGTGGCAGCCTCCTGAGCCTTACTGGTGTCTACTTCTCATTCATTCCCTTTATAGAGCTTTCCAAAACCAAATAGTAAGTTTTCACGGTAGGCCCACTAGCTCTCTTGTTTGGAATGCTAGTAGAAGCCTCCACTGATGTATTCTGGTACGCAAAATATAGGGACAATCCTTTCCTATCACTGATTTTAAAATCTATAGTTTAGATCAGCTAGCACCAAAAAGTTATTCTGTCCACAGCTGAGAAGCAAAATTAATGTACACAGCAGCAAATTAAATATGAAACCTGCAGGAAGTCTCCACATCTTACATGAAAGGCACGTATTAGGAAAACACTATTTCATCCAAGGCTTTTAAGAATACTTATATAAGGGGCAAAGTATTTCCAGGCCAACTGCTACATGAAGACAAACATCTGGGATCCACTGACAGCCCTATTTACATGTATGTAATGGCAGTCTATAAACAGATCGAAAAGCCCCAAATAATTAAAATAAATTCTAAACAGCCATCACTTCAAATTACAGATTTTACTCTCCTTTGCTTTGTTTGTCAATTACATCTATACAAAGTGAGTCCAATGCAATGACATTACGTTATGCCACATTTGCATATGCAAAACACATGTTTACAAAACCAGTAGAGAGTTCTGTTTATCTCCATTCAAGAAAGCGTTTTAAATAATGTGAAAGCTGTAGGTTTTAGTTCCCTCACTTGGATAATAACAGAAACTATACCTTTGGGAGAAGCTGGATTGCTTGGAGTATTCTCTGTCTGTGTCCAGAGTTAAGGATTCCTATTTCCAAGAGATCCTGGTCCTCCATTACGTTGCTTCCCTAAAAAACAAAACAAAACAAAAACCCGTAGAATAAAAATGAAAAAATAGCAGATGCCTTCAATAGCCTGAAACAAGCCCTTCTGTTGTGTTTAAAAGAGAACTTTCGCTTAACTTACAGTATCTGACAAGAATCATAAATTACTGATGATTGCATTCATTTTCACGATGACAAAATATGGTGGAAGACATTTGAACTCATGGACAATTATTATACTGCTGGCAGCACTGCCAGTGGAGAAATTGTAGCTCTCACTCAAGCCAAATACCAGATGTGAACCTTTTTTTCATTTGATTGAAACCAAGGGCATGACTAGAGAAATGTTCAGAAATTTCATTTTTTCATTCTCCTCCTACCTCACTCAGCTACATATGATGTCCATTTTTCTCCAGAACTGACACAGAATGAGATGAGCAGAGTGGATGAGGATAAAATTATTTAGTTCCTTGTTAGTAAAATGATGAAGAAACCAAAGAGGGGGAGTGGTATCAACAAACCCCATACAGTCCCCACCTCCCTGAATTTAACTGTACCAGTGCAGTCCTAACTTTACCCATCACTGCTCTTACCTCCCTGCTTGCGGGCAGGTCAAATAGCTCCTAACATGCAAACAGCTGAAAAAGACCATCTGTTCGAACAATACACAAAATAAGTGCCCACAAAAGTATAAAATAAGACTCCACAATTTAAGCCTCTATTCTTAGGAGCTGCTTTCAGTAGGAGAGGACCTATAGCTCCACAAACAGGATAATATGATTCCTAGGTTCAAGGAGTCCGACACCACCTAGATAGCAAGTTCAGCATTTGAAGGTTAAGGTACTTGATTAGCTGGCAGTGACTACTGGGAATCACAGGATACACAACAGCAGCTCAAAAAGGGCACTGCAGCCAGGGATCAAATCAAGACGGTTCAAAGTAGGCTGGAAGTCTTGTATTGCTTTTTTAGACTACCTTATTTCAGACAAAAACTCACTTTTTTTTTTTATTTATTATTTTTAAAAAGCTTCCAACTGCTACAGTTGTGAACAAAACCTGCAAAAAACAGATGACCTGTCTGAACTCTTAACGCCTGTTGGAGTTTCATGACACTAATTTGCTAGAAGCAAGAATTCTTATTATTTGGACTCATTTAACATAATCATGAAACAGGCTTTACGTGAGCAAATCCATGAAAAACTTCATCACCTTTCCATTTGGCTTGCTGCTTCTGACTCAGTAGAGTTCTTAAGCAGCAGCAAAATTAAAAGCTAATAGGTGCATAACAGAACATGGTTAAATACTTTGCTGAATCAGGGCTTAATGGATATGAATTCTTTCTGAATATCAAATCTCCTGTCCCACAGCAACATAGCTTGCTTTCAAGAAGTGCACTGGAGTATGCAATACTTCACCGTGTTCAGCTGCTAAATCTTCACTCTTTTCAGATGGACTGATTAGTTTACAGATGTACTCTTGAGGACTCTCAAGTGCTACTCTGCAAAGTATCCTGCAAAATCTGGGGGAGGTCTTTTTAAGGCAATCATGGCAACTTTGCAAAGCTATTACATTTAAAATTATATTTCACAGTAAGTGGTATGATTTAAGACTACAAGTCTGCAAATCATCTCCTGAAAGAATTTGTGTGCAGCATTCAGAACAGGGGCAGGCAGAGACCTGTTCTGAAGGGAGAAGCTGTGCTGTCGTGCCGGTTTAAGTAGATCACACGGCGAAAGAGAGCACGCAGCACAGGCTGTGCAAACAGTGATAGTGATGAGGTGGGGTGAACACCCCCTTCATCTCCCTGGTAAACACATACAAAATATAATTTTCCCTTTCTCCTCTAATAACCAAAAGCAGGCTGTAAACTTAGAGGAAGAACTGAGGAAAAAAAACCCTGTATTTTGGGCTGGATTCTCCAGCTGCTGGAAATAACTAGCATAAATGGATTTAAGCAACCTGAGCCAACTGAGGATCCAGTCCAAAACAAAGACTATACATTTTCATTCATTTTAATACATGCAGCTATATTGTTTACAGCCATTGCTTTCACTTCATTTCACTGTTGTTCAGATTTCACCTTTTGTCATTGCATGATGTTTACACACAATCACGGTATACTCATCACTGAGCTACTACACGCTGTTTACTGGTGTCGGTAACCTTGGCATCCAGCTTTAAATATTGCAATGCTTAAAACCCAATTCAACTAACACTGAGGCACAGAAAGAATCCTGTCTATTTGCACAGAGGTGCTGCATAGCAGAGACAGCATTATTTTATTAATTCTTCACTACTGTTTTTTCCTTCTATATTAGTTCATATATTTTGTTTCTTTGCAGTTGGTATTATACATTTTTTCAAAGTATGTCAAGGTTACAAAATCAAATATTTAAAACTCAGGAAAGTCGGGAATTCATGTTCCCTCCTTGTCCCCTGTCTGAGAAGGCAACAACATGGTCTTTCAGTGTGCTTGGGTTTTGGAGCTTTTCCTGTGTGTTGCCATCAGCGTCAACAGCAGCAGACGCTCATCCCTCCTGGAAAACAGACTTCATTGTCTCCTGCCATGGAGCTAAACCAGCTCTTCATCCTTCCACAAGAGCAAACCAGGAAACTTTAGATACTTGGTATATACCCACTGTTGCTTAACACAGAGGAGTAAACTGATAGTAGTAGAAAGCTGCTCTGTTTTGCAGACATGCTTGTGAAGAGAAAGAAATACTCCCCCTTATTCCTATCTCCCTAGCGTCTGCTCCCATTCTCCCCTTAATCCCAGTCCCTGATTCTATTTCTACCTCATTCCTCCTCTTGTGCTCTTCCAGCCTCCTGCCATAGGCTCCTACATTGAGACTGAGCAGCAGATCAGAGACAAGAGGAGAAATTCCCTCCCTGTTCTTAGCTGCCATGCACACATTTGTTATAAGCTGGGCCAAATTTAACCTCAATTAACTTTACAGGGATTACATGGTAACTGTAATTAAAATTACTATTAATGCAAGAATGTCTTTTCACATTATTTCAGTCTTAAAAATAGCTATGTTAGCTGAAACATTCACCAAAAAGAAATTATTCTAGTAGACACCTAGAGAGTTTGAGTCCAAAGATTTAACTTTGATATGCTTATATACAGAACTGGTTCTTATAACAGGAGATATGGGACAACAACCTCTACTGGGGTTATTATGCTTTTATTATGTAATAAAAACATAAGAGGCTTTGTGATATTGCAGTTTCTTCAGTCTATAGGAAAACCTAGTTGGAAGGAAAACTTACTTCTCGGAATTAAAGCAATAAGAATACATCAAAATTGCTTACACTAGGACAGATTCAGATCTCATTCACTTCAGCTTACACAGCTGAAGTTCCTGTCTTGTTAATGCAAAAGAGATAGTCTAATTATGAATTAGATTCTGGTTCTGAAGTTCCAGTTAGGAAAGAGTATAGCTGCTGCCTCCCATCCCCCGGGATCTGTGGTTCTGCACAGCTCTCAGGAATATAATCTTTTTCCCCTGTAAGCACATACAGGAAGCCAATCTCCTGAGTAAGGCGGCAGTAGTTTCACAGAACAGTTGGGCTCAAGAAGGAAGGAAAAACGATTCTGCATGTGGGAGACTGGAGGCATATGAAAAACAACACAATTTAAAAAAAAACAAAATTAAAAAAAAAAAAAAAAAAAAACCAGAAATTTTGCCAAAATCTGAGATAGTTCCTATAAATAAGTTCAGAGCAAAATACATAATGGTATGCTATGAGATAAAGATTTTACTGGCATTTAGTTGGGTTGTTCCACACATAATCACCTCTGCCATTCTCCACCTGAAGTTAATATAGCCTTCCCCGAAAATGCTGGTTTAGACCTTTATACCAGATTCCAAATGTATGCAAGTACAGAATCTCTGTATACATATACAGAATCTTTAGAAAACAATTTAATCTGGAACATGTCAGTTTTATAGCAAAAAAACCCCAACCTCTATTAAACATAGCCCAATTTTAATATATTAAACAGCTCAAAGAACCTCTAAAATCCAATCAAAGCAAAAGATTCATAAACTTGTAGACTGCTTTGTTTACTATCAAAAAAGAACAACATTCAAGATTCTTAAAAAAAATTTAAAAGACCAATACACATTCTTCATCCTGCAGGAACAAAAGCACTTTGAAGATTTGTCCCTGAAGATAATAAAATACGGTGATTAGAAGAACATATTAAGATGGCAGGCATGACTGTATGTTTCTCATTGCCCCCCTTTTGTACCTATGTTTTTAATCTTCCTTCATACATTTTCTGTACATGAGACCTATGGTGAAAAATTCCAATGTCTGGTTCTGTCACCTAAGTAAAATAAAAATGGTACAGAAGCTTTAAAACAGCTGGAAGATTTATCACTAGACTTATCTGAAACCTCAACCACTGAAGTTGGAAGAGAGGGGGGATGGGGAACAAGCCACCTGCATACCTTTTTTTGTCTTATTCTTGCTCTTCACCATGACTAATAGATCAAAAGCCTGATAAAAGTTAGAGAGAGGTTTCATAGATTTTCATTGCAATCAAAATTAAGGAAAAAAACCCTCAGTGGGGAGGTAAATGCATATGCATTGCTCTATGTAAACTGAGTAAAAAATGGCTGGAAAAAAAAGAGAAAGGAAAATTAATTTTGCATTTGAATATTTTTTTTCTCTTGCAAAAGAAAAGATTCTTAATATAAGAAATAGAAGATTTGGGAGAGTTCTGGCAATAGTCTGGCAACTAACCCAGCTTTTTATATGCTGAACTATGTCAGCTAGAGGAGGAAAAGTAGAGAATCTGGTGCCTAAAATTGTGTAAGAGCTGCTACCCATCAGGCTGAGTTGAATTCATTTGCTGAGCAGCCATTATCAAGACCAAGTTCAGCTGGAGATGTCAAGTGCTACTGGAAGTGGCAACAACTTCTGGTAAACTTTTTATGCTTTTGGTGTACTGGAAATTGGTTTGCCCAAGAGCAGGGTTGGTGTGGGTAAGGAAAGGATGATTTCTGAGGTAA